AACACTTCTTCCAACACCCTAATCCTTCTCTCTACCTCTATTTCTATACTCAAATCCAAGGTCAACAGGTATAAACGATATTGGCAGATGAAACCTGATCGTTCTCCCCCGAAGAACATTGAAAGCGGGGTTTGGGCCCAGATGGTAGAGTTCTGGGAGAATCCCGTCAACATTGAAAGAAGTAAAAAGGCGAAACAAAGTAGAACGACGGACGTGACTCCCGAAACTGGTCCAAGCAAGCATACATCGGGCCGAAAGCCATTTAGTCGGGTCATGCATGCATTGGTAATTAATTGATATATATTTTCAAACACCATATATATAATATATAGAAAATTATTAATATTATAAAAATTTTGTTTGTAGGCCCGAACATGTGGAAAGCAACCATCGCTCCTTGATGTGTTAAAGGTTACACATACAAGGAAAGATGGTACTATAATCGACGGGAAAGCCAAAAATTTGATCGACGAGATCGAACAAGCGGTACGTTTTTAAATATATAAATAGTTTTATAAATATAGATTAGTTATTAAATTTTTAACTCTTATATATATATATCACAGCAAACAACGCTTGAAGAATCTCAAGCGACTGCGTTGGGAATGAATACTGCAACGCAATTATCCCAGCAGCAAATCGATGAACTATATGTCAAGGTAATTAGTTGGTTTATTTTTTATTTCTTATAATATTTTATTTTTTAGTTATAATTAAATAACATACTAATTGAGATATTTGAATTCAGACCGTAAAACCGAACAAATACGGTCGTATATATGGACTTGGGTCGCTCAAACAAGATATTGTCAACACCGCTGCCGGGGAAGGAGAAGCACCAGTTGTTCAGGAGATTGTCACACTACAGCGACGACTCCAAGAATTAGAAGAACAGGTGCAGAACAATTTTGTATCGCGAGCTAAGTACGACGAATTAAAGCAGCGACACAACTACCTCCAACTGCTAGTTGACCAAAACATAGGAAATGTCAACATCGGCGGTGCAGGAGGTAGCGATGCAAATGATGATGCTCCCGACGATGGTGGTGAAGATGCGCCCGATGTTAATTTGAACGATTTTGATTTTCAATAAATTGTATTTTTATTTTTTTTGTTTTTTATTTTTTTTTTAATTTTTTTTAAAGTTAGCAACGCAATATTTCGTTGCTAACAGTATTGCTAATACACTTTTGCAACGCAAAAAATAGTTGCTACAAACGTTGCAAGAATCTTTGCAACACAACGTTGCAACGTAATTTTGTTGCAAACTTAGGATTTTTATAATACGCAGAACAACCGTTGCAACGCAGTTTTCGTTGCTAAGCGTTGCTAGTAGCAACGAAAATTTTCGTTCTAAATACGTTGCTACTACCAACGAAATTTCGTTGCTAATTTTACAATGCTTTAGCAACGCAAGAAATATCGTTGTAAGTAGCAACGAAAACGATGCGTTGTGCTTTCGTTGCTAGGTTAGCAACGAAATATTTTTCGTTGCTAAGTCGTTGCTAGTTGCAACGATTAGCAACGATTTCTGGTTTGCAACGACGCGTTACCAACGCAAGAAATTTTGTTTCTTTTTCGTTGCAAAAGCCATTTTGCAACGAAATTACTCTGTTTGCAACGAAAATTTTTCGTTGCAAAATAACAGTTTTTTTGTAGTGATGCACGACCTCGACGTGCTTTTTTGGATGTCCTAAAAGGTGAATTAGCCGCTTGGGGATGATTTAGTGGATTTTATTACATCACATTCAAATCTTATCATTAATTTCTACTCAAACATTTTTATTGTTTTGAAGTTTTTTTTCCCATTTATTGTATTTTTTCCTTACTATTTATCATATTTATTACCCTTTCAATGAAATTTGGTTGATAGATTGGCATTGAAATTTCATTTCTAATTTGCAACGATAAATTTTCTCTGTTAGCAACGAAATTCTTTTCGTTGCAACGATTTTGATAATTGCAAACGAATATCGTTTTGAATGATAGGTTGTTTGCAACAAAAAAAAAAAAAAATTGTTGTTGCTATAATATGTTGTTTTTTAGGGGTGAAAGTTTTACATTTTTCTCTTGATTAATACATCTTCTTCCTCCTTTGAAGCAATATCAAGACCTAGCTAAGGTGCTCAAACAATAAACTTCCCTAATTCTATAATCTCATTCTAGGTTTCTTCATCTATTACACATTTTGTTATCATTTCATTAATTAGGGTTTCATAATCCCATATCGAGTAGTAGCATAATAAAGAAGCTGCGGTAGAGGTGAAATTCCTTACTTAGTACATTAAACGTGTTTTACATTTTACTTCGCCCAAAAAAAAAATACGTATTTCAAATATATTTATCATGATTAGGTCAATACATATATATATATATACATAAAATATATCGTCGTTTAAGAATATTCACTTTGAAACGATAGTGCATGCATGCAAGGACTCGGTCCACCTTTTTTTTACTCTGGGTTTCCATGTCGCACATTTGAATTTTTTTTTACTTGGTAAAAATATCTTACGGTACCAACAAAATGTCAAAATATATGATTGCATCAATTAAGAAAGTTAAATTATTTCTTTGACCCGTTTTTTTTTCTCCAACAGTTTTTCTTTGACCTTATCAAAACCATTTATTTACCCACTCAATTCTCAAACTACTGTCCCATACGGCACGTCACCGATCTGTCAAAAAAATTGCATCTTTATTCTATGGCCTCAATACAAAACACGTGCTCGTACGTATACACATCCATACAGTTTTGTATATATGCATATGTGGTGACGTATTATCCTCTTGTCTTTTTTCTCATTCCCATGGAATAATTTGTGTGCATCCAATGGCAATGTTTTCAGTCAATTTTATGTTAACTATGTGCGCATATATATATATATATATGTGGGCCTTTTTCCGACCGGTGAGTCGGTGACAAAAGCCTGAAGATTTATGGATCGAGTATATACATGTGTATATATATAATTAAAATTTAATCGGATTCCAACTATGATCGGGTCGGATCGATCTGAACCCGTAATTTACCTCATAATTTTTGGGTCACATCCGTAAATGGATTCGGTACGGATATCGAACTTCGTGTTTTGTACATCCTATTTTATTATATATGTTTTATTAGTGATGGACATTTCACTTTTCGGTTTGAATTTGATTTGAAAATGGTTAGATTCGAATTCTTTGGATTGTATAAAATATGTATTATTATTATATTATATTCCGTTTTGGTTTCAGTTTGATTCGATTTTAATTTTTATTTAAAAATTTTAGATTTTTTTTTAAATTGCAATTTCAGTTTGGATCGAAAAATATTATTTTAAAAATTTTAAACGATTCGATTTTGAAGAATCTTACCGGAAACGTCCATCTATATTTTATACTAAATATACATTATCTATTTATGTAAAACCAAATTCTCTTATTGCACGTTTTTATTTATATTTGTGCGTATAGATCTTTGATGATTATATATTGTTTTTACAAATATTTGAATTTTAAAAAAAAAACTGATTGAACGTGTTACCTGTCTAAATTAAATATTTTTTTAAAACATATGCTTTAAAAGTTTATTCATATGTTTATTTTATGCTAAACTAAAAATTCGGTTCACTCATTTTTCTCACCACCGGTGTATTTGCGCAGTCAGGCGCGTGCGCGACATACGAATCTCCACTTTTTTGGATACGTGGTCGCTCCAAAACGCGAGTGTAAAATATCTGTACTCGCGCGTGAAATTTAAAATTTATGATGCTCTTCCCAAAGGCGACGAACAGAAAGCATCGGATAGAAGGCTATCTGCCAACCCCCAACCAGATTTTCACACGTGTCGTTTATCCGTGCGTCGGATCATTTGTCTCTACATGTGGTCGCCCGCGTGCGAGCGCTCCGCCACCATCGAACCAGGGTTATTTTAGTCATTTCGTCTTGGAATTTGGAATTTTATTTTATCGCCCGGGGAATATTTTTCATTAATTAGAGAGTATGTAATATAGAAATTTCACATAAGAAGATTCCAAGTTAGGATTTTCCATAACGATAAGGTTTGGCAAAAATGGAAATTTAGGCATTTATGAATTAAATGGTGTGGATAATGGTTACTCTATGTGTTTAAAATTTAGTGATTTTCTAAATATATGATTATCTTACTTCTTCTTGCCCTATTACATTAGGAAAATGTTACATGTTTTAATTTAGGCGATAATTAAGTTTATGATTTTTTAAGTAAATGTTGATTTTTTTAGATAAATTGGAATTTAATGTTCTCTTTTATAGCATGTTTTTGTTGTATTGATATATATCTTGGAAATATCCTATTGAAGGTTTGCAAATATAATATAGAAAAAGTGAGTTTGCAATTTATAATTTACAGTAAGAAATAGTAATTTTGAAATTTCAAAAATTTTAGCTACGGTTAGAAAATTTATGTTAAAAAAGTTGGTAATATTTATTTAACTATCAATATATGTTAAATATCTAACATTTAAATGATATCGGTTGTACAGTATTTCCATGTTTTCTTCCCTTTTTTTAACTACTCTACATCTTTTCTATAATAAGATATTCATGTTGATTATAATTTTTTTTTTCGTCTCATAGTTTATAATAGAAATTGACATATTTACTAAAATACCAAGTCTTCTAATTTCTTTGTGAAATAAGGGGCCGTTGGATCTAATTGTTTATCTATAATATAAAAATCATTAGATTTTCTGTGTTATCTGCATCCAAACTATTTTAATATCGTTGTAATATATGTTAATGAAAAATATAATTGAAAATATGCATAAGTCTATATATATATATATATATATATTATATGCGCACACATTAGTACGAGTACGCGGATAAATTTGTATACAGAAGTTTGTTTTCAATCATACATGTCATATATTTATTTCGAAGCATTTTAAAGAGAAAAAAAATAATAATTATAAAGGTACGTAACACATTTTTTTATTTATAACCAAAAGGGGCCTTGTTCCTTCTAAATTAATCATCTCCTCCTTGAAATTTTTAACTTTTTCCTTTTTTTTTCAGTCGTTCTTCTACTGGTTGATCTTTAAGTTGGGTTTCTCCATCAATGGAATTCCATTGATCGAGACAAGATAGGTCTGTGTGATGCTCTCTCTCTCTCTCCCCCCCCCTCCCTCTCTCTCTCTCTCTCTGGGTTATTGGCGTTTTCCCTCAAAATCGTCCCTTTCTCTACTCAGTATGATCATTTTGATGCAGATATAGGCGACTTGTTTTGGCTTGTTTCTGATCGTTGTTCAAGCCCGGAGGTTTATCTTTTGGTCCGATCATGGCTGTCGCTGAGAATGCTGGTGTGAAAGTGGATTCTTCCGGTCAGAATTTGGAGAACAACACTGTTTCAGCAGCGGGCATGAAGCCGCCATGCCCCGATGATCAGAACCCTAAATCAGATTCCTCTGGCGAGATACCGAATCCTACCGAGAAATTGACTCCAGACGACGATGATCGGGAAGTTTCTGCCAATGGCACTGACAAGATCGATCAGACGCCAACTGGGTTTAAGGAAAATGGGTTCGGGTCCAAACCCGAAAACGGGACGGGGGGAGACAGTGAGGAGAATCTAAAGCGTGAGATAGGAAAGTTGGATGAGATGTTGTCTAGGTTGAATCCCATGGCTGAAGAATTTGTCCCTCCTTCATTGGCTCGAAACCAATCTAGGGTTTTGGCCAATGGGTTAGGGTTTACTAACGGTTTTGCAGGGCAAGCTAATTCTGCTGATGGAAATGGCCATTTTGCTAGAAGGGTATATATCATCTTTTCCCCTGAACTACTCCGCTGATATATGATGATCTCTGTGTTCTGTTGTTTACTGTGCCGTGTCATGTTTCTTGAATCCTGAGTTGTTTGCTTGATCGTATGGGCTATCAAAAAGCATATTGCTTTGTTGTATGATTTATGTGATGATCTCTTGATTCTTGGTACGTTTTCATTCGCTGTTGAGTTATTGAGAAAGTAGTCAATTTGCACGTTTTGGTTGTACTGCATACACATTTCTGCGTTTCTGGAAAAGGGCTGTGCTTGGCATGTGAATTCTCCTTCCTTAACAAGGTTTTAGATTTGTGTGTGAATTCTGTCTCACGATTCGCGTAGTCTCTCATCTTGACGATAAATGATGCAGAGAAAGCTGGTGATTCGAAGTTTTGAGCGTTTTGTAGATTTTGTTATGTGATGGCTCACGAGTCATTTGCTTGATTGTGGACCGACAAGTGCATCAGTTTATGGTATAAGAGACCAGATGAGTGGAAAGTTTTGAGCTTTACGTGTATCGTATTTTGTCCTTTGAGCTGTTTGCTTGATATTGAAAAGCTTCTCGGTTTTCTGCGTTGCATGACAAAGTATCTTAGTTTCTGTTAGTTTCTTTCATTTGCTTTGGGTTTGTTGAGAAAACGACTGATATATGAAGTCTTGACTATATTACGTACAGCTACATTTCAAGAAAACAGTTAGACAAGTCGTGTCAACTTTCCTTCTACATTTCAAGAAAACAGTTAGACAAGTCGTGTTAACTTTCCTTTTCCGTAAATGCATATTTCGGGTTTTTAGGGCTTTGATGGTAAGTGTTTTATTCATATGTTCTACTAAATGTTTTCTTTGAATTTCGATCTTCGTGTCCTTTTTACTTCCTGCTAGATAACATGGTGAACGAATAGGAAGGTTCTGAGGTTTTCTTGTATTCCATTATCTTTTGTGAGTTGTTTGCTCAGTTATTTTGTTGAAGAACTTATTGAGTTCGTGTGTTGTCTCTGAAAGTTTTTCTATCCTTTTCAATGTTATTTTGCATTGCTCCTGTGGTTCTTTCATTTGCTGTTTGGTGTTGAGAAAATGATCTATATATGTAAGCTTTGGAGCTTTGCCTGAATTCCGCTACTATGTTCTGTGGATTAGGATAATGTGTTATGGATCAACGATTTGTTCATTGTTATTTGCGTGAATCTTTATGGATGTGTTGTGTTGCATGGAGACAACGTATGCGTTGCATGGAATTTTTTTTTTCATACATGAATTTTAAGATCTGATGGATTCAGTCCGCGGGCAGATAATGACCCAAAATTTGGAGCTTTTCCTGAATTACTCCACTATGTGCTGGGGATTAGAATGATGTGTTATGAATCAATAATTTGTTCATGATTATTTGCTTGAATCTTTATGGATGGTTTGAGTATATAATTTAATTTTTCTCTTATCGCTTTTGTTTTCCCCTGCAGAGAAGGAACAATGGCCAAGGTAAGCGTAGAATGAACAAACGGACAAGCATGGCTCAGAGGGAAGAGATAATTGGGAGAACTGTATATGTGGCTGACATTGATCAACAGGTGACCCAATAGAACTTCCGGCTTATGTGTATTCTCGTGCGAAAACCATCATCAAATAAACCTTTTTTTTTCTGGTTTATAGGTTACCGAAGAGCAGCTTGCAGGTCTCTTTCTTAACTGTGGACAGGTAAACAATATTACTATGTTCAGTGTATTGATATATTTGAGTTGCTTCTCATTCGATCTGCTTGTAATTTTGTGTATCTGAAGGTTGTTGATTGTCGTGTATGTGGCGATCCCAACTCTGTTCTCCGATTTGCTTTCATTGAGTTCACTGATGCAGGTACTCTTTCGTCAACTTTGCATATTACAAGTTTAAATTTCCGGCCATGTTTTTATTCACTGTTGAAGGATATTACAGGGGGAGCTAGGGCTGCTCTGAGCATGTCAGGCACTATGCTTGGGTTTTACCCTGTTAGGGTGCTTCCTTCCAAAACTGCTATTGCACCAGTTAACCCGACTTTCCTTCCCAGGGTGAGTTTCACATAACTGTGATGTATCGGGGATTTACGAGCTTCACACAATTGTTACTAAAACATGGATTTTGTAAATTGTGGTGACTTGATCGTTGCCCTAGCTAAACTCGAGATCTCTTTTGAGTAGTTTTAAATCAAACTTATCCATTATGGCTTTGCATAATGCTTTTTTTTTTTCCAGTCTGAGGATGAGAGGGAGATGTGCTCTAGGACTGTCTACTGTACTAACATTGACAACAAGGTATTTTTTTTTCAATTATCATCCCGTTACGAGGTAATTTCGTTACAACTAATAACTGCTTGCATTTATGTTTGGTATGTTTGGTCACAGATCTCTCAGGCAGATTTGAAGCTTTTCTTTGAATCTATTTGCGGGGAGGTATGTCTTCAGTATGACTGTGACTGATATAATTAACATTATTGCACATTTTTCGTTTTACAATCATTTTATACACGTTTTTTTTAAAGGTTCGACGTCTGAGGCTGCTCGGAGATTATCACCACCAAACCCGCATTGCTTTTGTTGAGTTTATGCTGGTAATTCCGAGTGCCCATTTTCTTGGTCAAGTTTTCATTATAGTGAACTTTCCTAGTCTGGATATTGGTTCCAGTGATTGATGCATTGTCGGATATAAAGTTTACGTTATTTTTATACGTCCTTCTTTATTTGTCACAGTCGCACAATGATTGGCATTCATTCTCTTCATTTATATATATATTCATGCATGAGAATGTATACACACTTCAGCGATGTGCATTCTTTAAATTTGTTCACTATACGTCAAACGGTCTTCTTTATATATTTGTTTTGCCTAGCCATGCATGTTTTATGCTCAACGAAATTGACATATTCGATGGAGAAACAGTGAAATTTATAAATTTGTACTTACAAAAATTTAATTTACGTTTTCAGGCTGAGAGTGCAATTGCTGCCCTCAACTGCAGTGGTGTCATCGTGGGCGGGCTCCCCGTAAGGTAAGGGATTATTGTTGTTTCCTGCTTTGATATTTATGTTTTGATTTTTTTTTTAAATATAGGAAAAGAAAGAAATAAAACAGGGTTTCTGTTATATTTTACGTGTGGTAGGGTAGCCGTTAGTTTTTCGTTATTTAAATCTTGATTTGGGGTAAGAATTTGCAAATATTTCTGTCTGTTCCTTATCATTTCACTTGCTATGCAATTCCTGTTCAAGTGCTTGGACGTTAACCTTTAGCTGTAGGTAGTTTGTGTACACATTAATAAAGGGATTAACCTAAATCCTGATTTTCAGTCCATAATTTTGGCGTCTTTCTGGAAAATGTGATCTGTGTAGAAACAAATGAGGGTTTTTGATAAATTCAGTTGGTCTGCTTAGTTTTTTTTTTCCGCTCGATTCCTTTGATATTGCATGAAGCTTTTGTTCATTACATTTTCAGTTCACTTAGCATATGAAACTTTTCCGGTTTTTAGACGTTAAATTCCTCCCATCATAACTGTTGTTTTTCTTAGGCCTTTTATCAATAAAGTATACACACCCCCGATTATATTTGTTTCCTTTCTTACGTGTTTCTCTCGTTAATAAACCATCCTTTCAACGAGAATATGACTAAAGCATTCCAAAGGATTCTCCTAAACTTGGTACCATCGAATAAAAAAGTTGTAGAGAAAAGCTTAGCGTTCAGGTTCTGTTTTGAGAAGTTCATTGTTTCTTTGTTTTGCCGTTTTGGTAAACCTGTATAGAAAGAAAGAAGATATGAATGCAGAGACTAATGTTTGGTTTTTTGGGATTGGTTTGAATGTGTGAAGGGTTAGCCCGTCAAAGACACCGGTGAGGCCGCGACTTCCCCGTCCTCAGTTCAACTGAATCTTTTTTCCCAGTTGCCGACCCCGGAGAGATCTCTCTCTATATATACATATGGCTTTGTGAGTTTAAAACAGATATGCAGGGAGAGAGAGAGAGATATTTAAGGTACTTGAGGCGTTTTCTGTTTAAACATGATACTGTGTTATGGTTTGCTTGGCTGGCTGCCTGGTATCTTTGAAGAACCCTTCTTCTCCTCCTCACTAAGCAAAAGTTTCGATTGGAAACCTTTTGTTGAAAAACCCATTTTTCTTTTGAATAATTTTCATGGGGGTTGGTTGGCTTAATTTCCCTTTTGGACAGACAAATCTTTGTTCATCTCTTCTGTTGTTGGTTTAATTTCCCTTTCTGGTTTCTTTGGTCTCTCTGTTATTTTCTCTGGTGGTCTCTTTCATTGATTGATTTCCCACCCATTATTAATGGTGTTCGTTGGCTCTTGAGCCTTTGTTTTCTTAAAGTTAGTATTTGCTTCGAATGTTGGTTTTGTAAGCTTAGTTTCCATTTGGACATTATATATATATATATATATATATATATGCTGTCATGTACTTTCAGTTTCAACACACATCGTGGTTCTTCTATGCTGATTATTTAGTTCTAGCAACCGGTCCTTTCGACCCCGTGTTACGAGGATCCTAGTCCCTTGTGGTGAGACTTGAATCGGGCCTAATCTCTCGAGCAATTGATCTGGTCTGGATTAGTCGCTGGACTGATCCGGATCAGTTCGTCTAACTTCTCTGCAGGTCCAATTCGGCCCCTCTTTGATCCTGACTCAATCGTCTACTGATCCGGATCCGGTCTGGTTCAATGCGACGTATTTGTGCAGGTTGATCCGAGCTCTTTGTATTCTTGTCCCCTCCGGACCTCTCTTTCTTTTTTAAATAAAATTATAACTGACAAAATTTTACAAATTAAATTACAATTATTAATTGTTAACATATCTTATTCAGATAGCCTTGTTAGAGTGATTTCTTAGGCAGAAACTATGTTTTAGACAATATAAACATATTAATGGTGAGGTCAGATGACAACCATGACATACATAATATTGGGAGCAGAGATTTGTTTTCTATACAGAATGTTATATTTCTTAATAAAGAAATTACTGTTACAAATTATTATTATTATTATTATTATTATTATTATTATTATTATTATTATTATTATTATTATTATTATTATTATTATTATTATTATTATTATTATTATTATTATTATTATTTCCAGCTGCTGTCGTTTTAGCTAAACTAGAATGCATTTTTCAACGACGACCCATAGCCCATTCTAGAGCCCATTGCCGGCCGGAGTAGCTCCGGGGAGAAAGTTCAAGTGGCCGTTCCCTCCTCCTCCGCCGGCATGGCGGCTCGAGGCTTGACAAGAAATTAGGGTTTTGGTCGCACATGTTGGGCGAAGGCGAAGAAAGGGCAAACTGTGGCGGTGGTCAAAATCATCTCTAAAGCTACTGCGAGTCTCTCTCGGTAGTGTTTTCTTCCATCATTAAGACAATGTGATCCCAACATTACCGGTTGAAGTTTTGGAACATGACAATAACTTGGGTGGGATAGTTTGACTTGTGGATTTTACCAGGTTTCTGTCAGCATGGTGCAAGGGAGAAAAAGGTTCAGGCTTCTGAGATGGTTGGTCTTGATAAAGTGTGCCATGATGAACGGGGAAATTCAGGTAAGCATAGAGCTTTGTCTAGCTTCATTCTGTTATCTCCAGTTTCGGACGATACTCAGGAGTCTATGAACTGCTGTCTTCCCAATGTGTTTGTTGGCTAATGATTCATTATACTGTAATGGCAATTATATAACTTCTATGCCATTGATGCTTCGAGAAAGCTTATAAAATGAGCTGACTTTAGGTATTTCATTTTCCACTCCGGTATATGATTTCAGGTTATGTGAAGGCAGAGAGCTTTCGGACAGAATCCCGACTCTCTTTCTTTGTTAGTGTTTTAGGCCCTTCCTGCTTAAATGTTAACTTTACATTTTTCGTCGTATTTCGAGTCTGAATCTGTATTTGCTTACGCCTTAATACCCTGAAGCTGATGCTAAGCGAATTCTTGTACACTTTTTTCCATCTTGAAGGTGTTGTACATCGTGATCTGGAACCAGAGGTACACAGTCTGCTTATATGGCTTTGAATAGATCATACTTAATGAGGATGCCATGCTTGTCTGATTTTGGCTAATGAATATATCATATTTCATACTCAAGGTCATGATTTCGGCTTGTCTGATTTTGCGAGATTTGGTAATAACCTTTTTTTTTGCGTGTTTTCTCCTTTCTTATAAATGACTGCGTACGGAAGAGCTGTAACTTGAAATGTTCACTTATCATCTTGGGTGCAGCTTCTTCTCGCGTAACGTTCTCTCTTCTTTGCGAGAATCATAATAAAGGAACCTGATTTTGTTGCCTTACCTTGCAAATTCTCTTCTTTATAAGCTCTCTGTCTAACTTTTCGTGTTTTTTCCCACGGTTCTCTGTGTAACTTATGATTTCTCTCCAACATTTTTGTGTACTGATCAACAAAGGTGTTTTTGTTAATCTTTTACATTTTCAGATCAACGTCTTAATGACGTCGTAGGTACAGAGTGCTTACTATGTTGCACTAGAAGTACTCTTCATGTGCTAATGTACTGAATCTGATATGTGGTGTATCCGAGTCATGACTTGTATATGAATATGAATGCATGGAAGCAGGCCTTTCTATGAAAGAAACTGAATCTGCAGTTTTTCTGTGTGCTTATTAGGGCAAAACCTGGTTTCGAGGATTTGGCATGGCATTCCATATCGTCCATTGCGAAAGATTTCGTGAGAAGGCTTCTAAACAAGGGTCATAGGCAGCAGAAGCACTAGGCAAGTTGTTTGAAAACCAGACGGTGTAGCCTTATTATATGATCTTTGTTAGTCAACAACGTTGAAACAGTTATGCAATATCAGCACATCCATCCATGGTTACGAGACGAAAACCCGGGGTTGCTTCTGGATTTGGCGATGTACGAGTCTTATATCCATGCCTCACCTTTCAGACGAGCAGCACTTTAAGGTAATTGGTTGATATTCTCGTTTTTTATTTTTCAATACCATTTCCGATGTTTGGAACAAGCATGACAAATCGTTTTGCCGATACTACTTGAGACTTCTTCATGCAACAAAAAAGGTTTTCGGGACTTTGCGGATAATTAATTGGTCGACTCTCCCATAATTTGTCGAGGGCATGCATCATTTGCTTTGTGTTCTATACTTCTGCATAACATATACTGATACTGGGTTCTCAAGATTTTATTTTCTTGCAACAAAAAGGATTTGGCCTGTGTTTTTGGAACCCTAAATTCTGTCTGATCAGGACTCCCTGTAACTCTCATGTCTGGTCAGATGCATGCATCTTCTGTTGTCCTTTCCTTTTCCGGAAATACATAATAAAATATGTACTGATGGTACTTGCCTTAGAAGAAAATTATCTACTCATGATACTAAAACAAGACTTATTCATGCAATGGAAAGTATTTCTTGGCGCACCGGTTAAGGTGTTGCCGTTGTGACATAGAGGTCATGGGAGCATTGTCTTGCAGAATATTTTATGCAAAGGTAAGGTTTGTCTACAATACACCCTTGTGGTGGGATCCTTTACCAGACCTCTGCTCAACTGGATGCTTTGTGCGCCGGGCTGCCTTTTTAATGATATTTCAGACAATATATGGATAGTACTTGATCATCTCATATTTTGTAGAGGGCACACATCTTCTTTTTGTCAAGTATCGAAAACAAATCTTCTCGTCACGCTAATCATACCTTTTGCGTGTTTGGAGTCCCGACTTTTTGTTTGCTAATATTTTCGTATTTGGTAGATACACGTGCATCATATATTTATCCTCTTTTTGCTTTGTGCATTGTGCCACAAGCGTCACATGAAGGTGAACCCGCGTTTCACAAAAGACAGGAAGCATATCGACCGAATCTTGTAGAGCGAGGACAGTAGCATTTCGACACTCTGTCGGGGGTATGTATTCTCTCTCGTGTCAATGCATAATGTTTTGAGATAAACTTCAATATGAATCGATGAATCCCGTTACGTAATAGCTGTGTAAACCACGGATGACAACCTAAAACTAGCTGCAGAGAATTCTTCTGTTAACGCAGGAAATGGATTCTGCTAAGAGATTGGATCAGGAACTTTGATGGGCAGCCGGGTTTCCTCGAGCTCAAGAAGAAGAATAAGAAGAGTCCATTCCAAAAATGTCGGTGTTTGGATTTAATTTTTCGGCAAAAAAAAAATTGGATTTTCGGGTCAGATTCAAATCGGGCTTCGGATCAGTTTAAAGATCCGAATATTAACTTTGAAAGAATTGAGTAGGCGGACTCGACCTAAGTCCGAATCCAAAGTCTATAGAGCCAAGTTTCGAACTTGGTGATATAGATCCGAAAAAATTCGAGCCACCCCAAATTCAAACTCGAAACTCACAGACCAAATGGAGACTCAAATTGCGTCGGTCCGATTGACACTCCTATCTAACATACTAACTACCATTTTTTCCAAAATCAATTAAAAAATAGTCATTCTTTGGTTTTAAAAGGATTTTAAAAAATCTATATTATTTTATTTAAATTGTATTTCAGATTTAATAATCTTGTTTACATTTATAGATCCTAATTTGTAAAAGAAAAAGGCAATGCAAACCCACTTTTATTAATCATCTAGATATTTTATAATTTCAAGTGAATCAGTTCAATTCTCTATGTGTACATTCTACCCAAGGTTCAAAAATAATATATATTCCCTTTCACGTTTTTTTTTTGTTTTTTTTTCTCAATTTACCTACTTCAGATTCATGCGACCTCACTGCATAACCACCTAAAGTTTATATTTATATATATATATATATATACGTACATGTGTTTTTTCATAAAAGTAAAAAAAAATGAATATATATATATATAAAGGAAATAAAGAACAGAAAATAAAGAAAACGCTTCCCTCATAGTTTGATTCAAAACAAATTAACATCATAATTCAATTTATAAAGATCTTTGTATATTTAATTAGCTAGTACGAAACTTCATAAAAATATTATTTAAAAAAAAACTTAATAAAATTCACGCGAGTTTGGATGCATAACTCCTTAGCAAGCATAGCACACTAAATGCCAACTTTTTCTATCAACAATTAAAAAATAGGGTAAAACCCCTAAAAACCTTCAACTTACAAAAATATATACAAATAAACCTTCAACTTGAAAAACTGTCATTCAATCCCCGAACTTGTAACTTGTCACTGAATAAAACCTCGAACTTGCAAATTATTGTTCTAATAAATCTTTGACCGATTTGACCACAATTTCAAACGATCAGAAATCCACGTATTGACGGATTGCTGATATCATTTTTTAAATTAAAATTGATAACGTGTATAAGGTGACATCAGCAATCCGTTAATACGTAGATTTCCGATCGCCTTAAATTGTGGTCAAACCGGTCAAAGGTTTATTAGAGCAATAATTTGCAAGTTCAAAGTTTTATTCAGTGACAAATTACAAGTTCGGGAATTGAATGATAGTTTTTCAAGTTGAAAGTTTATTTCTATATATTTTTGTAAGTTTAAGGTTTTTTAGGGGTTTTACCTTAAAAAATATTATCACTCTTTGGTTTTAAAAGAACAAAAAATTTAAAATATCTATATTATTTTATTTAAATTTATTTAGATTTAATTATCTCTTGTATATATATCGATCCTAAATTGTAAAAGAAAAGGGCAATGCAAAACCTACTTTTTTAAAATCATATAATTATTTTATAATTTTAAGTGGATCAGCTCAATTTTATATATATTGCTCGCAAGGTTCAAAAATATTATGTGTTTTTTGCATTAACTAATCATTTCTATATTTTCCTTTCGACTAACCACCGAAAAGTTTCTTAAAAGTAAAAAACTATATGAATATAGCAAGGAAATAAAATAAAGAAAATGCTTTCCGAAATTGTTATTAAATTTGAATCCATTTTATTTATATTTTAATTCAAATATACAGATCCTATACATACAGTTTATATGATTTTAGTAAATGATTTATAAATTATGAATATACATATTAATCGTCATTGGAAATACAGTATAAAATTCTATTCAGAAAATATAACATCACATTTTAATAAAAGTATTTAATATTATAGTACGATGATATTTATCATAGTACGAGATTTTTTTTTGATAAAATGTGATTGAATTAACCTCGAAAAAAATACAAAATAATTACAAAAGTAGAGACAACTCTAAAGACACGGGACGAATGGGGTTGTAGTGTCCAGCAACTTGAATTGTAGCTCTTGGATCTTGTCACTTCTCGCCGGAGGAAGAAACCACATGTCGTTGTTCACAACCTCAACTGTGGCCGATTTCGACACTCGCAATTGAGTAGGACCTGAGTCACCAACAAAATCAATAATAGGGCCAATGTCCAACCAAGAGTCATACCAAAAAGAGGTGTTACTTCCATTCCCGAGCCTAACTCCTATGAACTGACAGGCTAGAGTCTTCATCTGCAACAGTTTCCGCAGATTCCATGATGTGTTTTGTGATGGTTTAGTTTCCCAATAAGTGGCAGTCTCGAAGATGTTCGCTTTCACCCAAGCAACCCATAGTGAACTTGCTTTACTAGACAACAACCAGACCAGCTTTAATCGAAAGACAATGTTTAATTCCTCCAGTTGTCGTACGTCGGGCCCTCCTTCCTTTCGTGGCTTACAAATCGCTTCCCAGGAGATACGGTGGCTTGGAGTCTTGTTGGTCGAGTGTTGCCATATGAATGACGCACATAAGCTGTCTATTTCCTTAAGAAAGTACTTAGGCAGCATAAAAGACATACCCCATGAGTTTACCATGCCATAGATGACTGACGTTACAAGTTGGATCTCATAGCCGAGACGAGAATTAGTTGCGGGTAATTATAGATCATGGTACAAGTTATTTTTTTTATTCAACACCTATATACAAATACCATATTTTAATATATGTAACATAAATATCATAATTTGATTCAAAACAAATTAATAAAAAAAAGCTTGATGTATATATATATATATATGTATGTGTGTGTGTAAGTATTTAGTATCAGTATTCAGTAATATCAAGAGATAATAGCACATCTATGTACATTTTAAAAAACTCATCTCGTATGCTCTGATTAATATATGCTCTAATTGTATTAGTTTTTCCAATTTATCATGTAAGTTTAAAGTTTTAGTACTAATTGAAATAGTTTCTGATGATATTAAAGCGGATTATTTTATTTTGTAGATATAAAAATGGATTGCCATTTGCCATTTGCCATTGCATTTTCCTCGATGTACGGAGCTTAATAAGCTTCACATGGCTCCGGATATAAAGTTTTGTACTAATTGAAAACAATTAAATAAATATTGCCATATTTTCGTTTTAAAAGACTAAGTATTTTTAAAAGTATCTATAATTATTTTCTTTAAATTATATTTTGGATTAAGTTATCATGATTATGTTTCTCGATCTAATATTGTAAAAGAGAAGGACAATGCAAACTCACTTTATTATAATCTAAATATTTTATATTTTAATTAAATAAGCTCAAGTTTTTATACATTCGGCATATACAAAAGATATGCAAAAAGGTATTATATTTTTCTGTAGTAACTACTCTCTCCGTTTCTTAATAGTTGAAATTATAAACAAAAAAAATTATTTTTAAATAGATATTATTTTAATTTTTTTAGATAATTTTTTAAAATAATTTCTAATTTTATCCTTAATTAAAACTAACTAATTCTAATAAATTTAATTAATATTAATTATATTTCAGTTTTAAATAATATATGTATACGACTTTTTTTTTATTTATTTATCATTTCCCTCACATTTTTGGCGTTTGTACCAAATTTCCAAACTTCATATTCACACAACTTTACTGCATCGCCACGCCAACAACCTAAAATTTTCATAAAAAAAAATACCCTAAAATTTTCAATAAATATTTATACGCTTTTTTCTCACCTATGTGACTCGAATTCTATTTTCGATTTGAAAAATAATTACATATTTTTCTAGGCTTTTACAATAACTATCTATTATGGATTTGGATTTGGACATAGTTGAATATTTTTTCTAAATTTTGGATAACTGTCTATTTTGTTTTGTGTCTGAATATCATTATAATTTTTTTTTTTGTGTTTTGGGTAAGTGTCTATTTTGTATTTAAAAATATTTTGGGTCATATTTATTATTTAGTGGAGAAATGCAGCACCTTCTCTATCCACAGTGAATTTCTTTTTTTTTTAACCCGCAATTTTTGCTATTTAGGTTTTCACGTAAATGTGACATTTTTCTGTTTTGGTTCGTAATTAATATATTATATATTAAGCAAATAAAATAAATTAAAGTGAGAGAAAATGAATGAGCATTTCTCTCTCCTCCTGATGAAGACGACTGTGCCAAATCTTCGCATCAAATTCCTCGCTCCTTCTCCGCGTCCTATAAGAACCCCGCTCTTCGTCGACAGTT